AACTCGCTTTGGAGACCAGGCTGGCCTCAAACTCACAGAGATCCGCCTGGCTCTGCCTCCCGAGTGCTGGGATTAAAGGCGTGCGCCACCACCGCCTGGCTTAATTCGTAGTTTTTTCTTAAACCCTTCTATGTATCAAAATCTTGCCACTACCCATCACTTTGTGGCTTCCTAAGAATCAAATACTGGAAAAACAGTATTTAAAAGTCTTTACATATCTTCCTCTCTGTTTCTTCTGTTCAGCTGCATGTGGATTTTAAGATAAAATGATGATAAAATGACGACCTTCTGAAAGTTCTTTGACTTTCCCTTAACTCCCAGTCCTGCTGTGCAGTTAAAATACCGTTCTGGTTCTGGTGCCTCAAATGGCCCATTATTTCACTGTTTGGGGTCTTTCGTCACTCTACGTCGGTACTCTGAAAATCTGCCATTTGTATGCTCTTTCTTTTCTCATCTTCCTGGGCACAGAGTAAGTCTTTTTAATGTTGAAAACTTACATCTTTAAGTTCAGGGAGATTTCTCACAGTCTCTAGGACTGAGGTCTCTATAGTTTCTGCCAGTTGAGAACAATATAATTTTCTTATTTTGTAACTTTGACTTTTAGTTCTAGTTATCTGTAGACTGTCCACTTTATCTTCAATCTAATTTTCTTATTTTGTAACTTTGACTTTTAGTTCTAGTTATCTGTAGACTGTCCACTTTATCTTCAAACTTCTATTTAGGCTCTTGGTTTATTCAAATAACTGATAAAATTTTGAGGCAGCACCCTCTATTTATGTACAATCATTATCTTTGAGACTTTACTCTTAGAGGCATATGGTGTCACTCATGTGACAAAAGGTGCTTTCTGGGAAAGAGTTTGCCACCACAAATATTTTTTGTTTGTATTTTTACATTTTTTGTTAATCCGCTAAAACATGTCCTCATGTTGTTGAACATAGTTTAAAATTATTTCTTTCAAACTTGTATCATAAGACATTGGAAAAAACCTTCAGAAAAGGTAAGTTATGAAAACCTGTGGCCATGCTAGAAGTAGAGATCAAGTGTAAGTAGCTAAAATAAAGTGACAAGAAAGGAGTCCAGTGGCCAGATCTGGCCAAGGCCTGGGTCGGCCAGCAATGGCCTCGAATAGATGTGACATGCTCTCCCATTCTAATCAAACTGCAGATGCCTGTGAATTTGTGCGCCTGCCAGACTCAGCTTGCCAGTTTTGTGAGGTTTTATGTTATCACTGGAGCTGTTTGAGGCCACTAGGCTTAGGAGGACTATAACCTTGGAAACACCCCATGTATGTGAGTTAAGTAAATGGCATAGGTGTTTTTGGGTCAGCCTTGTTTATATGGATGGTTGTGATCATGTGTGTGCAAGTGCAGTCCCATGTGTGCATGCCATGACGCACTGTGGAGGGCAGAGTGCAGCTCTGCGTCTTAGGCCTGGCTTTATACTTTAAGAGGTCACTTTTGTTGTTTGCGGCTATGTGGCTATGCAAGCTGGCCTGTGAGTTTCTGGAGATGCTTGTCTTGATCTCCATCATGCTACAGGAGCACTGAATTTGGGATTACAGATTGTATGTGCTGCCCTCCATCCCCCAGCCCTGCTTGGTATGGGTCCCAGGGATTGGCACGCTGGTTCTCACCAGAGTCATCTCCCCAGCCCGGCATTTTCTTATGGTAAATGGCACAACACCTTACATCAGTTCTTCAGCTTTCAAAATGCTTTTACTTGTATGTAAGAATTAAAGGGGAAATTTAACTCTATTTCACAACTATTTCAAGTTTGGAAAAGTGAAAGCATTACAAGTTATACACTTCACTGTCCTGAGATGAGACTTGGGGAGAGAGTACTTCATGGGGTTTGTGTGCTGGATTACTTTATAGACGCAGAGTGATTATGTATAGTAAGGACTTTAAAAAGTGGTTCCGATCACGTCACCACTAGACTCTGTCCCACCAGACTCCAGGAGTGATCTATAAATAAGGAACTTACTCCAAGGACCCCCTCCTCCACTTTGTTTTTAGTACCTTCCGTACCAAACCATCATCCTGTTTCTCACTTGCTTATAAAATACTTACCTTGTGTGGTCTACATTTTTACTTTGTAGCAAACTTCTCAAAGATAACATTTATCTTCCAAAAACCTTGCAAAGATCATGAAACACTATATGCTGACTCAGGCTGTTTAAGCATGCCTGTAAAGGCAGCTGAGTCCTCTGCTGAAGGAAGTCAATTTCAGACAAATGCTACACTGCTTTCCTGCTCTGGGTTTCTCAAGAGGATTTGCAGTTTATGTAGCTTGTGAAAAAGATCTGCCAATTATGCAAAACTCTATGACTCACTCTTAAGGATGGAGCCCAAGCAATCCCCCCCCACCCCCCACCTTTTTTTAAGAACCTGACTTACTGAGGGGAGGGAGAACGTCTCAGCTTTGTGTTCCCGCTCTTCAGATGCTAGCGGGCCCCTTTTCTGGACACCCTGGTTTCCTGTGATCTATATCAGACCTAAGTTCCAGGAGACACAACCAGCACTGCAAAGAAACATTCTCATGTGTATCCATTCTTGCAGCTAGTATCTCTCAAACCAGTGGCCACAGAACTCATTCCAGTACCTCACTCAGCCTTCATTTTCAGTCACAGAGGTGGGACAAATAATCTGCATTTAAAGCAGCTTTCCCCATCGCCACCCTTTGCTGTGACTCAGATGTCATCAATGAGCGACACTGGGGTGACAGGGAAGAACAAGGAAGAACGCCCCATGTGACATGAAGCAAAGGGAGGTTCCTTGTTGCTGGAATTAGAGTAGGTCACCACATGTCTATACATCCATGGTAAACCTGCCTGGTTATTTCTACTAATTTGTTGTTTTTAAGACAACTAACTTTTCATTAATGTTTTTCTCAGATGAAATATTAGACAAGATGTTGAGAAAGTAAAACCTGAAATTGTCATGATTTTAAAAAGAAATAGGAGTTAGTATAGCAAGAAAATGCTGTTCCTTGAACCAACCCCTCAAAAAGATGTTACTATTATTTTTATTTCTCCTCACGCAGCTATGAATTCCAGGTGAAACCCAAAAATCCACTTGGTGAAGGCCCCGCCAGCAACACAGTGGCATTCAGTACTGAATCAGGTAATTATGCCTGCAGTAATCTACAGGGATGTGGAGGGATATAATCACAGTGTTTGCACAGGAGCTTATTTGAAAAAACCCAGTGTCTTGAATCCCAAAAAGTCCATGAGAAGAAGCTAATAGATGAAGGTATTTACAGTTATCACTGCTTTTCTTCATTTAGGTTTATGTGAGGAAAGAAATTAAAATGAAAAACTGTAATCTATACCCCAAAATGTAGTACACCAATGCTTCCTTGCATGCTCAGAACAATGTCCATCAAGTACAACAGAGGAGGGAAGTCATGAGTTCAGTGAAACTAGCTGCACATTCCAAGCTTCAATTCCTCAATAAAAATCTCTATGTACAGACAAATTGGAAACTGTATCATATCTTGGTAACTTTACAATTAATAGCTTTTGTAGCAAACTAAATGAGAAAGCTTTTGAAAAAAGCTAGAGTAACAACCTATGGTCAAATCTACTCAAATCATGTGTAAAAGATGCAGTTGAGTACCTTTAGGATGATCAATGACCAATTCCAAAACAAAACTTTCAGATTCAGTCTTTAGCAAGATTGTACATTATACAAACAAGAGCTAAGTGTACACCTCCATCTTCTTTACCATAACACTGCAATATTAAAACTTGACCTAAAAGGCTCTTTTGTGTGTGTTATTTCTCCTCAGCTGACCCAAGAGTGAGTGAGCCAATTTCTGGTAAGTACCAGTCTCAATGGGGACTACATACATTTCTAAATTAGGTAAGCACTGCAAAACTGAGCTGAGCATCTTCCTATCTAGAAAGATAGAAGAGGCATCACTCTTAAACACATCAACATTTAGAAGCCATTGGGGAGGTGTTGAAATTTGCTTTCACTCATACTAGTTCACTCAAAATTTGTTTAATTTGCTCACATTAAATTTTATACTATTGTTGCAAAAAAAGAACACTAAATGTGTCTATACACCTAGCACTGCAGACTAGTCTAACATCTAAGAGCTGCTCTGAGATTTACTTCACTAGTGACAGAAACTTACATTGGGGTTTTCAAACCCTTTCAAATATTTTCTGCCTCCAATATTCACAGTATTAAAGAAATGAGGTATCAGGAAGTTGGCAATGAATTCTGCAGGCTGCTTTTGTTGTAATGCTTTTAGTCCTTCAGAGTTAAATACTGAACCCAACCAAACCATGTGTTTTCCTCATGCAGCAGGAAGAGACGCCATCTGGACTGAAAGACCCTTTAATTCAGACTCCTATTCAGAATGTAAAGGCAAACAATATGTTAAAAGGACATGGTATAAAAAATTTGTCGGAGTACAACTATGCAACTCTCTCAGATACAAGATTTACTTAAGTGACTCCCTCACAGGTATGTTCCAATACCCTAGTCTTTTCTGTGGAGTTTCAGACTCAGCACTTTATACCTTCAGAAAAAGGTGTTACAGAGATAGTTAAAAACAATCTTAGAAACGAAGACTTAAAGATCTGCAACTTGGAGGCAGATAACAAAAATGTAACATAGAACAGTGGCACCACGATCAACTTGAATGCACAGGCAGGCACTTGTACAGCAAAGCTCGGTGCTGCCACACCATCCAAGAATGAACATCCTCCTACTAATCATTGAAAGGAATAGGACATACTGAAAATGTCCGAAGGGCTCAAACCCTTTGCACAAGATTTGTTTAAAATATTTTCTTCTGTATCCATATGGTGGAGACTTTGGTCGCTCACACGCTCATCAGGTACTATTCTGGGTTTGGTGGGCGACAAAGCACCAAATGCCATATTCCTGCTCTCATATAGTGTACCTCTCCTCCTTTCCTATAGGAAGGAGAGGCACAATGAATAAATATGTAAATTAAGAGTGTCACACAGGGTTAGACAGAGTGGCTCAGCAGAAACGGAAGCTCCTTTAGGTGAATAGTTTTAGGGAAGGTCTGTCTGCAAAGGTATCATGTCTGCTTAGAATAAACTTTGAGACGAAATCAACTACAGAAAAGTCTAGGAACAAAGGACCTCTGGAAAGGTACAGGAAATAGAAAGTGCAAAGGCCTGAGGCAAGACATACTGGTCAGTCCTACTAGTTTGGGCTTAGATGTAGTAAAAGAGAAGTTACATTCCGGGTATGATGGGAGACCGCTGGAGAGAATCATGGAAGGAGTAATAACATGATGTGCATCTTTAAAAATCACTGTGATCTGAAGGGGAAAAGGAGAACATCAGGAGGTTAAGAGTACAAGCAAGGACATGAGCTAGAAAACCTTTCCTAGTTCAGGAGATGCTAGTGTCTTACTCTGGGAAGTAAGAGAAAAGAAAAGCAAAACTAGCCTTTGAAGTAATTATGGAATTGCCATACACTAAAGAACACTGTTTCATTTCTGGTTCTTCAGGCAAATTTTACAACATAGGAGATCAGAGGGGCCATGGCGAAGATCACTGCCAGTTTGTGGATTCATTTTTAGATGGCCGCACAGGACAGCAACTCGCCTCTGACCAGTTACCCACCAAAGAAGGTATGCTTTCTGACCACCCGAAGTAGAGGGCTTTGTAGATTAGCACAGACAGCAATCGGCTGACAGGAAAGGCTACAGACCTGCTACTCTATCACTAGGGAAAGAAGAAACTTAACTCTCAAGTCAAGCTCAGCTCTAGAAAAATTAGATATATAAATGCATTCTGAGAAAAAAAAAAAAATCTTTTCCAAGTTTACATCACTCCTGCTGTCCCAATCAGTTGTCCCTCACAGCTCTAGTCATATGGAACATACCTAATCGTCATTTTTTGCTCTCTTAAAAATTAAGAAAATTTATTTCTCCTATACAACAAAGACATAGTATTTCCCTTAAAAATACCTATATAAAGCAAAATAAATCTGAGAAGTAAATATAGTCAGCAATTTGCTAAATACATATTAACAGCAGGTTGTGAAATGAGGACTGAGAATTTAATCTTTGTCTAAGCAGAGCAGAAAGGTGTAAATTGCCCAGATCACTCCAGAAACACCTAATTATTTGAGGTTTCCATGGACACAAAAATACAAGCCTATTAAAGGATGCCTCTATAAGACACTCAGACATAAGAGGCTGCTGAAACTACTCATAGTACTGACTTGCTAAGACAAATGTCAAGACTTGGAGTCCTGGGGCCATTGCATTTCTGGATAAACACCAGATCCTCCATAACTACTAGTTTTCTAAATTACTTTCCTTCACTCAGAATAACCTTCAGCCACCGAACAGCCTATATCTAGAAATGATGTGGCCAAAGATAGGAAAGTGCTATTAAACTCCACTCTTCTTCCTCCTAGGCTATTTCAGAGCCGTTCGCCAGGAACCTGTCCAATTTGGAGAGATAGGTGGTCATACCCAAATCAATTATGTCCAGTGGTATGAGTGTGGGACCACAATACCTGGAAAATGGTAGAGGCGGCACAATTATTTCCAAAGTACTTCTGGTTCATTATCGCAAAAAGGAAAGCAAACAGGAAGGAACCCGCAGGATATACTATGGTATTTGTCACACCCATTCAAAGCTATTTTGTTTACTATGTATAAAAGTTTGCAGTCTAACTGACAGCAGTACTAGATGTTTATTATTAGAAAAGATTACTGAGAATATTTATCAGGTTTTACAAAGTCATTTTAAGAAAGCAAGATATTAACATTAATAGAATAACATTTTTAGGGAAGCTGGCTCCCTATTCATGATATTTTAAGAGATCATTTGTATATTATTTATCACACTGTTGTAATGTTTTCAGATACTTTTATAACAAAATTAATGTCAAAATCTTTAATATGCTTTATAAAAAGTATTTACTTTATTGATGTGTACGTGTTGTTGGCGAGTTAAATCCATAAATCTCTACTTGGTTTAACTTATTGGATCAAATAATCTTCAGCATATACATGTGAGAGAAAGTGGTTCTAATATTTACATTTATGTAAACTTCAATTTTTTAGCATCAGATGAACAGATTTTGAGTTTAAATAGTTATATATTCATGCTAACTTTTCTGTAAGCTACCAGCAAATTACTGAAAAGAGAAATCTGAATCATTTTATTTCAGCCAGAAGCAGCTGATAATCTGATATGTCAAATGATAAATTTTGGTGTTTTTTTCTGTACCCATAATATTATATCTAAAAATACTTTCTCAAACTCTTCCTTTAAGCATTTCTTTTAAATGGCTCTATGGTTCTAATTCAAGCTGTATTTAGAGACTAAGTGTGAAGTCAGCATGAAAAGATACTGCATGGTGAGATGCTATTGTTTTATAGGATATATTATATATTTATATGTTAAGGCCATGAATGAATGTTATCAAGGGGTTGTTTTTGTGAAACGGTTTGCTTAAGCTGTAACAAAACTGACGCATTTTCATGGGGGGGGGGGGTATTGCTTTCCTTCATATGGAGGAGAGAGCAAGAATATTATTGCCTGTCCTGAAAAGATGTTTCTGTGTGTCTTTCAATATGCTTCAGTTTCATCAATGCTACATTTTGTATTTTTCAAGCAAATATAAACTCTGCAATAAAAAGATGTAAGTTTTTAAAAAATGATTTTTAAAATGTTCTTAATAGTTCGCCAATATGTACGTACACCTTTATCTCTGTAAGGAAAAATCAGAAAATTAAAGGCTACCAAACCTCTATTATGTTTACATTCTAAGTCAATCAAGTTTGTTATATATATTTCTTTCCCTGAATGGAAACCAATTTCATAAATTTTACTTGAAGACCATATACCAATAAGATGACTGTTTTCCTTATGTCTGAAATAATTAAATGACAAGACCACTATTGGATTCAATCACCTTTATTAGCCTATCAATGTTACACTTTATACATAATGTCTAGTCATCTTCTCAAAGGACTCTATTTTTAGTACATCATGTTAATAGTAAATAGCCAAGTGTGATGGCTAAACCTTAGCCTAGCTTTTTAAGATCCTCTGGGAACTAGAAAGCCAATCATTTTACACGCAAGAGTAGTGTTCCAAAATAACTAGGAAGCTGCTACAATTTTAAGCAGGGGCGGAAACAATGTTCATTTTGGTCTTTTTGTGTTTATATTCCAGCAAATTATATTTTCAATTAACAGCAACAATGATATCATAAAAAATGCTCTGCTGTTTAAATTTTTGAACTTCAATACAGTACAAATTGAAAGAAAATAGTATTGTAGTCTTTCGGGGGTAATTAGCCATCACTTATAACCGGGTCCAGGTTGGGTATAGCTCTGACCAAAAGGAGGACGGTTGCGTGCATAAGGGTTAGGCCCACTGGAAGGAGGGGTCATGGTACTTGCAGGAGATGGCGTAAAACCTGGTCTTGCTTGGTAAGCACCAGGTTGGCTTGGAGCCATTCCAGGCTGAGTGCCAGGGGGAACAGTGTAGTTAGCAGGTTGAGATGTCTGGGTAGTGTAAGTTTGTGGAGGGTAAGTGCTCGCCTGGTACTGCTGTGGTGGCTGAGCAGGCAGTTGTTGTGGCTGAGCAGAAAAGGCAGTGGCCGGTGCCTGGGAAGTTGGTTGTTGGCCATATCCCTGGAACTGCTGAGGTTGTTGGGGTCCAGTCTGCTGGCTGTAACTAGCTGAAAAAGCAAAATAAATAACATATATGTCTTGGTTCTTTTGGTGAAAGTTTTCCAGAGAATTAGTCTTACTGCTATGGACCAAAAATGATTAAAAATTTAATAAATGTATTCAAACATTTATGTAGTGAGTCCAGTATAAAACATCTCAAGGCCAAGTAGTTATAAAAATTTTCCAGACAATTTTTAAATCCTATATTCTAAAATTCAAGTTACTATACACGTCTTCATTACAATTGTTTTGAAACTAAATAACTCTTGAGCAAATTCCCATTTGCACATAATTCCTAGAGTAGATGCTCAAATAATAAGTGAAAGAATTATGCTTTCAGGAAGATGAAAATCATAAAGTAGTCACTAATCAGGTTTGGAGGGAAGTCCTATTTAACAGTACCAAATGAAAACACATTACAGACAACAAGTGCTTTAGAAATGAAACAATGCTACAAATAATCTTCATATAAATGAAGTGTTTTAAAGTTTATTTACTAGAATATCTAAGAATAAGTTAATAATTACTAAGTACTATTTTTACAGTTCTTGAAATCTTTTATATTTGGTATCTGATACTTTGCCTTTCAACTCAAATTTTGACTTAGATGGCATAACAAACAAAAAACAGCACATTGTCCCACAAAAGCAACATCTATATTCATTATTTACTAGGACATAATTAAAAATAAAATCTGCTTCACTGAAAACTTTTATCTCTACCATGAAACACACCTGCAGCTACTTGCAATGAAAACTCTCCATTGACTGGAATCCTGTCAGCATTAAATACCAGATACATAAGACAATCATTAAAATATGTACAACCCTGCATTTAGGAAAAAAAAAGGATTGAATGAATTTGAGTATATTCTGAACTCACCTTGAACCTGGTTCAAAATTTACTTATCAAAGAAACCTTTATGATATAGTCCATGAACAAAACTGGAAAGGTCAGAGGGAAACTGGCAAACCAGAAGTGTGAGAGATTGGTCAATGTCACTACCACCAGCACCACTAAGAAGTCTCCATGCAGAGAAATTAGTTGACTATTTCCATAGTTCTCAAAGTCAAGGAAATAGGACTAGCAGGATTGGAAATAACAGAGGAAATCTGTAAAGTACTACATTTTACTCAGTGAAGACCCTGACTAAAATTTCCAAGTGAAAGCTTAGGCATCAACTATCTAACACATTTTACTCATGGTAGCACCTGAATACTGAACAAAAGTAATTTATGGTAAGATTTTAGATGTCATGTAATTTCTCCTTTCTTCTACGCAAACCTTAAAATTGTGTGTGTGCATGTACACCACCCATGGGGGTCAGAGGAGGACACAGAACTTGCTGGAATTTCTGGTGGTCGTAAGCTGCCATCAACATGGGTGCTAGAAAATGAACTGTTATATTGAAAGACAGCAAGGGCTTTCAACCTTGAGCCAGCTCACCAGTCCCCACAAAAACTTTCAGGTGTAACTTTTTCCTGTAAGTTTTTGGGGAACACCTTTACACTGAAAATGACTACCCCATTTGAAGGGAAACAACAAAACCAACTGTCTTTTCATTCCACAGCTGGAATCTAATTTTTTTTTAATTGAACTGAGAAGCACCTGGAGTCTTAATTATTGCTCAGGAGAGGCAACAGCAGTAAGCGGTAACAATGCCGTTTCAGTAGCTGGGCCATCAACCATGTTAACAATACCTCTCTATGGCATCTACTTGTCTCCACTGCTGCACACCCAAAACTCCCAAAATGAATAACATCAGGTGAAGACCATCACAAACTGCAAGAAATAGCTATTTTTTAAAATCAATAAATCACTACAACTAAGCCGAAAGCATTGACCACTCTGCTCTAAATTGCAGAATATAAAATGGTATAAGTCAAGAGAATAAGATTCTGTTCCAGCTCCCTTACTGAATATCTGCAGGTCTTGAGTGCGCAGGACAAGATCAGTGGTCCTCACCCTGGCTATACAATGACCTGTGATGCTATTTAAGGTATCAAAGCCAAGTCCCACCTCCAAGCAAACCGGTGTCAAAACGAATAGGGCCTGGATGAAGAAGCTGCTCAGGAGATCCTGAAGCACCATGAGGGTTGAGAGCATCTCCTAGGTCAGATGACGACACTATTTCTTCGGCTCTGGACGCCTATTAGTTCTATACATTATATAATCTGTACCACAGATTTTTTTAATTTAAAGACATTTCCTTTAAATTCACTCCATCTGCATTGTACAATAAGATCTAGCATCTCTAAGGTAAAATCACTCTACAGCAAATACAATCCCAACAAAATTAGTGTAGGTGTAAAAATATACCAGATTTAATTACTGACAACATTTTGTGGTCTAGGTCAGCAATCAGCAACTGTCGCACCAATAAAAGAGGAAAGCTGAGCCTCTCTCCTATGCAGGGCCAGATAGTAACTGTTTCAGGTGTCGTGGGCCTCACTGCTCTCTCACTGCTGCCACTACTCACTCTCCTCTGTCAGTGTAGTGCCAAAGGACACCAAGGACACCCGAGAAATACGTAGTGTCCAAGTGTCCTAATAAACCTTCCCTTACAAAACTAGGCAGCAGCAGACTCACACTGTAGCTGTATCTGCTCGCTCTGTCTGTCTTCTGTCTGTCTATAGTTATACATCTGTAACCTGGTGAGCTATACTCTTATACTCTAGTTAATAACACAAAATTCTCAGAACAGAACTTTGTTAAGATTTAATTTACAGAAGTTATTTTAATCTCTGACTATACAACAAGGTGGACAGACACTCTGATGTAACTGGAAAAAGTACCTAAATTATAACCAAAGCTACACCAAAGAAATTCATCATATCCAATGCAGACAGTCTTCAGTGGGACAGACGGTAAAACTCAAACAAAATATTCAAAGTGTCTGGAATAGGACCCAACTAGAGACCTCCGATGATTCGGACATGCCAGGTGATGAAACCCTGGGTCAGAGGACAACGGTGTCCCCTCGCCTGATAGCACAGTCCAAACATCTGAGCACTCTACCTGCCCAAACTCCACTGTAATCTTTCATTTGTATGTTTTATTTTATTCTAGCATATTTTCAACAGGCTTACATACCTAAGTAATTTATTTTAGTTTTTTATTAAGTTCACTTCTCCATGTGTGGATAAATTGTTAATATAGCTACAAATACTAAGAGTACTCTATAATTACAAGTAATACAGATAAAGAAGAAAATCTTATTTTTTTTCTCAATTTGAAGTTATCTAAGAGGCTGGATTTTTAATGTTATTAAGACATTTTTTATACTACAGATTACTACAGAATCATCTCTCTACATCATATTTGCTCACTAGAAAAATGAAACGCTGATTTGATAAAACATGACAATTTAAATGTAAATAAGTATTGCTTCCTCTAACCTCTATTATGACAATGCAAGTGTTATAAATCAAGTACTTAGGAGGAATAACTTAAAATTTAGTGAATATAGAAACAGATCAAAAGCTGCAAATTAACTCCCTTTTAACACCCGCTCACCTGAATACTGAATACCGTACTGCTGAGGAGCTTGAGGCTGCTGTGCCCCGTAGCCAGCCTGCTGCTGGTATAGTTGGTACATCTGACCTATGTAAGAAAATACAGACAAAAGAGGAGGTTTAACTTGGCAGAGAAATATTTTTAGGGCACCTTTATATTTCCTCCCAATTTAATATACAAGCACACTGAATAATAATATACAATATATTGGTTATACTTTAAATATCTATGAAGACAAGAATGAATAATTTAAGAAGGGTGACTGCTCGTTCTGCTATAGATAAACTGCTAAGAATGTTAGCTGGAAGCAAGTATTTGTATGATGTTACTCTAGTTGTTATCACTTCATAAACTGCAGAAAATACATTTTTAAAACTCTATGCCATTAGGTAAGTCATCAGAGATAAGGGACAAATACACTGCCTTTCACATACTCTTATATGTTAGCAATACCTCTCTGATGATCCATAGCACTGTTCTCATTTAAACAAGTCGTTTAGTTTTTAGCATTTATCAAATTATACAGAAGAAAGGCACTGATTTTAGAGTAACACTGTCCTTTTATTTTCTTCAGTTATTTTCAACATGGTCACTCACTTTGCAATATACAATACTGTATCACCTAGTGATGTTGGAGCCACCTTAGTTTTATATAAACATGTTCTAGGCAGTATTTCTCAACTTGTGGGCTGCAACCCCCAAAGACCATAGGAAAACACGGATATTTACATTACAATTTATAACAGTAGCAAAATTACAGTTACAAAGCGGCAACAAGAATAATTTTATCAGTGGGGGTCACTGCAACATGAGGAATTGTATTAAATGGTCGCAGCATTAGGAAGGGTGAGAACTACCGCTCTATGGTGTTTATATTAAGGCCAAAGTTATCTAATGACACATTTCTCAGACAGTACTCCATCCATCAGTCACTGAAATAGAAGTATCTTCTATTTTACTATTAAATTTATTATTATTATTAAATATTATTAAATTATTAAAATAAAAATTTTATTATTTATTTATTTATTTATTTTTTAGGCAAGTGTCTCACTATGCAGCCCTGGCTGGCCTGGAACTAACTATGTAGACCAGACCAGGTTGAACTCAAACATAAAAGATTGGCTTGCCTCTAGATTTTCACTTTTCAAATTAAACCTAGGGTCTCACATAAGCTAGGTATATGCTTGAGCTATACTTGAGCCTGAGCCTTCCAACTGAAGAAGATATTAAAATTACAATCAATAATAAAAAATGCTTTTGAAGAAAATATAGTATTTATAGTGTCAATTAATAACTTGAAATTCTTAATCTCTTATGAAATTAATGATTTGAAATTTTTTGTTGTTGTTGTTGTTTTTCGAGACAGGGTTTCTCTGTGTAGCTTTGCGCCTTTCCTGGAACTCACTTAGTAGACCAGACTGGCCTTGAACTCACAGAGATCTGCCTGGCTCTGCCTCCCGAGTGCTGGGATTAAAGGTGTGCGCCACCACCGCCCGGCTTGAAATAAAATTATGTTAACCAATTAAGTCATGCTCTGTTAGTGATTCTGCTCAAAATATAAATGGAACTTGATCTAAATAAATGGCAATGTCTAAAATATATAATTACATATCAAAAAGTATTCACTAAAGTAGCTTAATCGCTTATCTTTAGCTACATATTATATCTAACACAACAGCCCAAACATGTGGCAACTGAGCTACTGAAACTGCAACTGGGACATACTGAATGCTGTTTAAAATGTTCCAACCCGTCACATCTCTAATGTACACAAACAAACCAAACAACCAACCAACCCCTTCCTAAATCAGTGCTTCTATATTGATGTATATTAGACACACTTGGCTAAATAAATTAAAATTGATGGTACCGTTAAGAAAATGTTCTAATGCATCTAATAACAAACTTTAAATTATATGTCTTTAGTATAATTCATAACACTGATCTAGAACTAGACTACTTATTAATCTTTTTGCTTATGACTATACTGCATTGTTCTTAAATGTAAGATAAGCAATAGCTGTAGCAAGGCATATAATTAGTACCACTCCAGAGTAAATCCATCAATGGTATTGATCTGATGCTGCTAGAGAGGGTATGTGGTTGTGAGAGAACACAAGTGGAAGACGATTTTCATTATAAACTTTCATACTCCTAAACTTTTATTGATTTTAAATTTTGGCAATTAAAAAAAAACCCTCAAAAGGCAATGTGAAATTCTAGTAAGCAAGCATTACATCTCATTCCTGCTCACTGAACTTACTTTTCAATTACTCACTTACAATTCTTCTCAATAATAACCTACACCAGTACTTCAACAGTTTTTAGTTCACCTGACGACACACTGTTACACTATTTGTCCATCCAAACTCTGCATCCTGCTTCTACCTCCCATTTGAACCCATAGCCAGTTCAGTTCTAGTTGATTTTAGTTCTGGCTGTTGTATTTTTGATGCAGAGGAAGACAAACTAAAGTTGGTGGAGAAAAGACTTAACATAAGGATTCTTATTAAGCCACTCTTCAGCAAGATACCACCTGCTAGTTCCCAGTGATTCATACTAATTCAATGAGCAAGCATGAAAAGAATCACCATGGGACAAAAGGATTCTAGTCACAGCTCATCTTATGCTACAGTTTTAGTTTTAATGTAAATGTTAACTTCAATCAGGTGCTTTAGGTGCTAAGAACTTATTTATTATGATTTATATTATTATACACCATTATCACCAACTGACCCTTTGGTACAAACTTTTAGAGCACCACCTGGTGTTTACTTCTTTAAAGTAAAATGTACACATTTACAGGTCCTAACATGCACAGCAGTTAACAGAAATAATAATATCATAATGTCAAGGGGGTACACTAAAGCTCAGTAAGGTACTTAGCCATGTTCTGCAGAGCTGTGTTTTTCAACGACTCTCATTTGCTGATCTGAGATCCTTCAAATATACCAACCAGCCCTTTTAAATACTGAACTTTCAATTTCATGATTAATGAGCTATTTTTGAAACTAATGGTCTAGTCCAATTTTCACATCTTTTTGATCAGTAAAAAAAAAAAATATCAAAACCCAGAGATTAAATTACTTACAGAAGACACATAATTTGGAAAGAAAAGAAATTAACTTAAAAATGCACTGCTAACCTAATAAGCAATCAACATTATTTAACTAAAATTATGCTTCATCATCTCTACTTAAAATCTTTTTAAGTGACAGAAAACATACAGTTTTTGGAGGGGAGAGAATAAAGTCATTTCCCCCTAATCTTTCATTTTGTGTTTATATTAACTTTAACATTTTTTTCATCCCCCTTTTTAAATTTTCAATAATCAGAAACATACTCAATATATTATTTGGCTCTATGACACCAAATCACAACATGTCAGTAAATAAAACTATTTTATGTTAGACGGTGAGATTACTTATGTAAATGGATTGCATTACCAATAATGCCTCAATAAATACTTCTGTACATATCCCTTCCCCCACACGGGCTCTGAACGTTATTTTACCTTCAATCTGACCTGCTTGTGTCTGAGCTCCTGTATATGGAGGTTGCTGTGGCTGAACTGCTGCTGGGTGCGCTGCTGAGGAGGAAGAAGCAATACTGTCAGGAGTTCCTGAACGGTCTTCTGCAGGAGCACTGGGTGGCCCTGGATGGTCATGAAAAGTCAGTTAATTACCCTGTCCAAGGCCTTTCTCTAACAAGCGCAATTAAAAGTACAGGTTAATAACATTAAAAAGAAAATCGCTAGGCAACAATCACATCACCAAAAATACACTAAGCTTATGTTCTGTATTTTCACAGTTGCTCCACTCTTTAGGATCCGAAGTCAAAACTGGAAATCATTCCCTACAATGTGTGAAATGTTAAATTCCTGAGTCCTAACCTCCCATGTCAAAATTAAAACTCCTATCTACAGTCAACCAAAACCAGTGCTGCCTTCTTAAGCGGGTCTAAACTGTCTATAAATTCAATGCAATCATCCTGGTTATATTCAGGGATGCAAGCATTTTTCACTTGGCTTCTCACATGTTCCTCTTTAGTTAAACTGATCCACTCCATAGTTTCACAGGGCAGCTTTCTGACCTCTACTAATCACCATTCCTCCACTCTCCGATTAATCTCAACAGTCACATACATAACAACATTCTTTAAAACCTACTTACAATTCTATACTGTATTCCCTAGAGAATTTCTCTATGGCTTACTTTTATTATGAGCCACACTGATTTCTACTAGGTATTTCCACACTGGCCCCAGTTTCCTTAAGACTTTAAGAACTTTGGCCATGCTCAAGCTCTTTTCTGCTTCCATAATGTCTAGGACTCTACTTACATCTGTTGTCAATCAAATTCTCCCTGGATAAGGAACACAGAATCGAGTACAGAAAATCTAGATTCTCTGTACAGCTCTAATACTGTGACAATCAGTAAGTATATCATTCTGAAGAACTACAAATGGCTTACTCCTTTAAGTTATTTTAGCAACATATAGGAGTGGCTTAAAGAGTTTTTGGAATTCAATTATTTAGGGGGCATTGCCAAAGCTAATAGTGACTGCTGACTTTGGGCAGGTTACTGAATCTCTGTACCACAGCCTTTTCATTATGTAAAAAGCACACTAATTCTGACTTCAAGGTTACTTGGGAGAGTTATGAGTTAAAGGGAGCTTATAGCAAAAGCTTCTAAAATCAATTACCACTTTAAAGCTTGATTTAAATACTATTATTAATAGGCTTTCCCTGAAAGCAGTCTCCAACTGCTCTAATGGTATGTCCTCAAAACTTAACATGATTTAAATCTAAAATGTTACCAAAGACCAAGTACTGAGGCTGATGGACTTCTGAGAAGTGTCTGAAACAAAGGTGCTTAGACCTCATAACTGGATTATCCCACTGATAAACTGATAGTGGGGTGGGCTATTAGAAGGTAAAAAGGGGAGTGGGTTCTTGAGAGCAATTCTTAAGAATCTATATTGTCTCTAGTCCCTTTAACTTGTTCATTTGCTTCCTGACCACCATCAAGTGCACAGCCTTCTCTTACACATTCAGCCCTGGGGTACTCTGCCTCGATTCAGGGCCAAGCTAATGGAGCCAATGGGTCATGAACTGAGATTTCTGGGAGAACAAACCAAAGTACATCCCTTTCCTCTACATCAGTGGTTTTCAACCTTCCTAATGCTATGACCTTTTAAAACAGTTCCTCAGGCTGTGGTGACTCCAACCATAAAATTATTTCGTTGCTACTGTTATGAATCATAATGTAAACATCTGATATGCAGCCCCAAAGGGGTCATGACCCATGGATTAAGAACCAGTCTCAAGTTATTTTCTCAGCCATTTTATCACTGCAAGACAAAGTTGGTATACCACCATTTTAGGCAAATGGTTTGCCCCTTACCAGTCATGTACTAATGAGAATCTAGGCTGGGTTATAGTAATGGGAAAGCTGATTACCAGGTTAAAATGTATGACTGACTGGTTTACCACTACTTTACTTGTGTACACACACAGACACACAGAGACACACACACACACACACACACACACACACACACACACACACACACACTTAACTTTCCCTAAATGAATCCTAAACATACTCAGTGCTTGGCTCTTCTTTTCTCTCTTGGATGAAGCTTATGACTGTTGTTCATCCTGTTCTGCTAACACTTCATCTTCTTCACTTCTACATTACTGTGTAGCTATTTCCCCCCTTACCAGATCGCATATGGAGAATTAAAAAAGTACTCTGGTTGTTGTCAATGTGAAGACAACTAAGTGTACAAATCCACATGAAAATGGTCTTCATATAACAGAAATCATTGTCATAATATTCTGGTCTGATATATGACATCCAATTCAAGTTTCAAGGCTGGCTTTTATATAGCGCATTTCCTAACATTTCAAGTAGCTGAAACATTAGTTCATATTTCAGTCCTTGACATGGTTTTCAGATGTATCATTTGTTTATCTTTTGCCAAAAACAGGTAACATATTCAGCTGTCTCCTCAAATCTAACATAATTATTCAGTGAATAATCCCACAAAAATTTTCAAGAAGATGAAAATGAACAGACCAAATAAATTCTCTATCTCTAACTGCTAAAAATGGCAAAGTAAATGATTGAGGTAAACCCTTCCCCAGGTAGCAAAAATTTGAACAAAGCAGAAGAAAACAATTACTTAAGATAACTACTAGTCAATCAAATCTCACAGAAACCAGAAAAGAGTTTCCCCTAGGAGAAACAGTGAATTAAGGATTTCAAGACTTGATTTCTGCTTCAATGGCAGAAAACCATCATGTTAACAGCATCATGGCTGGACAAGGAGCTGGAGATGAAGGTGAAACTCCCTGTCACTGAAGGGCTAATTACTCGAAATCATTATAAACTCCGCCCAATCTTTAGCCACTCCTCTGTTTCAGGAAGGGGGGTAACTCCAAGTGGGCTCAGGAAGAAACATGAAAAAGAAAGAAAGAAAGCAGAATCCACTGCTGGAAAACAAGAGACAAAACTACTGTCCGCAGGAGTTTATTTAAGACTGGAAGAGCAATAACAAAGCTCTTAGAAAAAAACAAAACAAAACAATAATAACATCAAAATCACAAGTCAGAAAGATACACTAATGAAAATGCCCACCTACAATGAAGAACTGCAAGGCAGATAGAAACAAGAAAATCTGACACACATTATAAAACAGGAAAGCAGCCAATAAAAACATGAAGCATTCAGCAATGATGTGTGATAAGGATCCCCAAAGAAAAACAGGAATAATGCTGTCAAAATGATAACCAAAAACTAAGAAGAAAGAATAAATCACAATACAAGGGCTGCTTTAAAGCTAAAACTTATTTGCATACAAGCAATTAACTAGAAATCTCTTTAATTTTAATTTCCTAAGATCAGAAGAGATAGCAAAACCTATCAAATCCAATTTAAGTACTACAAGAAAATCTGAAAAGTTTTTTTTTTAATAAAACGGTTTTTTTTTTCCTCTCTCTCTTTTTTAAAAAGAATCTGAAAATACTGCTTTTACTAAAATTTAGCTGAAACAAACAGTGGTTATTCTTTAAGATGGAAAGAGTGCTATGGACTGGAAAGGGCAAAGAATCTCTTTAGGGTGCCGAAATCATGCATTTCCCTGTTTTATAGGAACTTAAATATGTAAAAAGTAACTGGCTGAACCCTAAGCCGTGGTATTTCTCCATATCCATGAAAGAGGGGAGATAACGATAGAGAGAAAAAGGAACTGACCTACCTGAAACCTGGTCATCTGTTAATCCAAATGCTGACATGACATTTTTGTTGATTTCATCTTGGTTTTTCAGAGGGTCAAAAGCTGACATACTTGCTGCCATAACCTGAGTAGACTGTTTTCCAGAAGAATCAGAGGCAGCAGGCTTCTCTTCCCTACCATCCACAGTATCTGTAAGAAAAAAGGAATAAACAAGTTTATTTCATGTATACTCAAAAAAGCATAAAAAAATAAGACAAGAAAATATACATGTGCATAAATATTGTCAGGAATGTTAGAATAAGAATTTGTGAATACAAAACTATAGAACGCTTTACTTTCTTCACGTATGTTTATGCTTCAAGAAAAATGGGTAAAAGGAAATACAAGATAAAGAGTAGTTTTCCAGAAAGAATTACTGTCTCTCCCCATTCCCCCATTTAGAATTACTAGACTAATCTGAGCACAGAGAATGGTGCCTGCCTATAATCCTGGCACTCAGGAGGCTAAGACAGGAGGATCAAGAGTTCTAGGTCAGCCTGAGCTACACAGCAGGACTGTCTCAATAGCAAAAGAAAAGAAAAAGGAGAAAATGAGAAAAAAACATTATTATTATCATTATTATTATTTTAAAGCTTCTTTAAAAACACAATTGTTTTACATTTTACTTTTTTTGGAGCCTGAGCTGGCTAGTTTTTATGTCAACTTGACACACACATGCTACAGACATCTGAGAGGAAGAAGCCTCAGCTGAGAAACTGCCTCCCTAAGATTGGTCTGAACACAAGTCTGAGGGGCATTTTCTTTAGTGATTGGTGTGGGAGGGCCCAGCCTACTGTGGGTGAGGCCACTCCTGGGCTGGTGGTCCTGAGTTCCAAAAGAAGGCAGGCTGAGCAAGCCATAAGCAGTAAGTCAGTAAGCATGGCCTCTTCATCAGCTCCTGCTTCCAGATTCCTGCCTGGTTTGAGTATCCTGCCTTGGATTCCATCAATGGGCTATGATTCAGGATATGTAATCCAAATAAATCCTTTCCTCAAGTTGCTTTTAGTTATGGTGTTTCATCACAACAATAACACCAACTTGCGCGTGCGTGCGTGTGTGTTCACTCACATGCATATGGAGGTCAGAAGACAATCTCCAGGGACATTTCTCAAGAGCTGTCCAGTTTGCTTTTGAGATAGGGTCCCTCAATGGCCTGGAATTCATCAAGTCGACTATCTGGTCTCTCCCTGGCTAGCCAGTGAGCCCTAGGCAACTGCCTGTTTCCACCTCTACAGTGCTGGGATTACAAACACACACCACCATACCAGGAAGGTTTTGTTTGTTTGTTTTTAACATGGGTTTTGGGGACCGACAGATACTACACCAAGAACTTTACCAACTGAGCTGTTTATTCAGCCCACACCCCAGTGATCTGCACATACATATACGATACCCAGGAGAGCCGGACAGTGGTGGCGCACGCCTTTAATCTCAGCACTCATGAGGCAGAGCCAGGTGTATTTCTGTGAGTTTGAGGCCAGCCTGGTCTACAGATCAAGATCCAGGACAGGCACCAAAACGACAGGGAGAAACCCTGTCTCAAAAAAAACCAAACCAAACCAAACCAAAAACAACCCCCCCACACACAAATACCCAGATACCCAGGAAACAGAGTAACAAATGTTTTATTTTGCAAAACAACAGAAATCTTGCCTTAATTTAGGATCTCAACTCTTACGTTTTGTCTATTCCTCTACAATTAACGTAAAAACCAAACCAGCCAAAATTCCTTATCATCTATAAAATAACAGTTTTGCTATGTATTCTAAACATGCATTACTTATTAAATTAGTTATTAAAATACTTGTTTAAAAATGTGTTTAGAATGTTCTTCAAAAGAACACACAAGGTGACAAAGTATAAATGACACGACCCTGACTTAGAGTAATTCTTGAGCGTGATCTGGGTCATCAGTGTTGGTCTACTTTGATAGATGCATCTGTCCTGTGCCCCTGTACCTTAGTGCTGTGGGATGTTCTGTATGTCCTGTGGGAGCCCTAATTTAAGCTATAAGCACAGTTAGCAAGAAGCCTGCCACGGCCATACAGTTTGTAAGCAATATAAATCTCTGTGTTTACTTGGTTGGGTCTGAGCGGCTGTGGGACTGGCGGG